TGAAATTTTAGCCCGGGCTGAAAAAACAACCGTTTAAATGGCTTTATTTTGCATGTTTGTTTCATCTTTAAATACTTTACATATAACCACAGTCTCACACAAGTCAAATAGTCAACTAATCAGCATCTGATTGCTTCAAAGAAGCATAACAGGCTTATTGTCCTATTTCGTGACACTCAGATTATTTCACTCAGCCCGGTCTGACATTTCAGCCCGGGTTGACTATAAACATAGCTCTGACTAAACTCAGTCCAGGCTCAAACTGCTCATGTAATCGTGATGCAATTTCAGCTCATTTTAATAACCCGGCTGAAACTCAGCCCGGGCTGAAAACTCTCCATGTAATTAGCCCCTAAGATTGTACTCAGTCAGAACTGCAAAACTATATAATACGATTGTGAGCATTATCAAAAAATATAGTATACTCTGTCTCTGAGTACTGTCGTGACAGCCAGGTGAATATATAAATGTAGGCTGGTAGGATAATTTCATATTATGCTATTAAACAATGGACATATCTCAGAGATACATTTTTACAGACCGTCATACCTTTTACAAACGTCGGTTGACATGTTATTTACATGTAACTGCTGGTAAGTTAATATGTGCAGACAACAATCCACACTGCATGGGTTGCAAAGGGACTATCTTTGTGCAAGACAGACAATTTTACGATACTGCTCAATGCCTCAATTGATATTGCCAAAATAACAATAATAAACTCTCTCTGTGATTATTTATCCCTTAGAAGTACGATGTTCCATCAAGCCTACGATCAAGCTCAATCAGATTTTTTACAAACTGATATAAAATATCGACGAAGTCCACTTGTTTACTATGAAGACTTGTATGCACCTAAAAATGTAATAATTTAAATACAGTTAATTCATTCGCTCGAAGTTTCAACGCGTATCGACCAATACACATTGTTATTTGTGATCAAACTTTCATCTTACCTTGAAAAGCATTTTATTTAACAGTCAGAGTCCATTTGCGAATTGCGATGAGACTATTCCATTATACAGAGGCCATTATGCGCATAGAGATTATAATCTCTATGATTATGCGCACATGTAACGTGTTTACAAATTGTCCATGGTGGTGTTCGCGAGGTTCAACCGGGATCTTCGGAAAGTCAAATCGCGATCTGGAGTATGTTATTTTTTTAAATTTCTGTGACGTCAAAATACGTCATAAATCTGATCATCCGTACATTCGTACATGCAAATAAAATCGAGTTGTCGCTCGGCTATACATAACTCGGCCAACCGGAAACGGACTGGTGCGAGAAAAACACATCGTCAAGAATAGGTGGCTGCCTACGGCAGCAACAAGTTTGGTCCCTCTTACAATATCGTGAGCTTATGGGAACACTGAAAGGTACACGAAAGCACATCAAAACATGAAAAATAACTGAATTAGGCTTTTCACTGTAACACGTCACATGAGCGGTGAAAAATTTCAGTTTCCAACGGCAAACGCCCCGTTTCAAACGTAAACAAACGCGCGAAAATGTTTGCGGTTTGTGCTTGGACGCAAGACAAGAACTTTAATGCTGCCTTAGCCTGCGTGCAGGCCCAAGGGAACTGATAGTGGGCCTGCAACCATCACCCCATGTTTTCGATTTTCGCCGGCCGAACCGCCGGCTAAATTCCCATTGGCTAGCTGAGGCGATCGGTAATTAATTAACCTAGCGTGCAGGCCCAAGGGAACAGTGATTCATCACAAAGGCATAGACAAAGGCTCTCGATACGCTTAAAATTTGAAAATTGATTACTTTTCGATTACAAATGGAACAAGAACAGACTGTTTATTGTTTACTTGAAGGAAGACATGTTTTTGCCGTTATGCCAATGGGGATTGCTTGTCGTGAGGTGTTGGAATAGCAAATTACGACTGGGGTAAACTATAGTAACCTTTACTTGAGTTTCATTAATTTCAAACAGACTTCAGTTGATACGTTATGTGTTCTCACTTCCTCAAGAAAATTATCTTTTGGCTGATGTTGAGATGCAGTTGCATGTAAGGACTGTAAGCCTATTCGAAACACTTTGCGATTTACAAGGCTTCGCTGAGAGAGCGAAACAGAAGGCGGTATTAAATTGCCGTTTGAAACGAAACGATCTGTACTCGGAACGCTCTCTTCTTTTGTAGAGTTCTTTACCAAATGAAATAAATTTCGTACTTTCCGCCGCCAACAAGAATTGCACACACGATCTGATAAGTGAGACAATTTATTTATAACAATGCCAATGGCGACAGCGAAGCACACATAATATAACTCCTAATGTGGTCGCACGACTTCCCTCATGATTTGAAGTTTGAGACTGGTTTTCTGTTGAAATTCGTCCTAATTTGCCTGTTCCGATTTTAGTTGAAAATGAGCACTTGCAAATTTGGCAATTACTGACTGCGTTGCTTGTTTTTTTGGAGTTAAAACGCAGCCATTTACACATTGTTTATTAGTGTTCTGAATAAGCAGAGAAAACCCCGCAACATTTTAATGCGAGTTTGTTTGTTAATATTTGGGTGCTGTCATTGGTTCTTTTTTGACAATTGACGCGCGAATGGGGCGTGTTATGAAAAGGGGCGTTTTACAAAATACCGGGCCTTGCTTGCAGGCCCACTATCAGTTCCCTTGGGCCTGCACGCAGGCTATACATTCATACATGTACGGCCCCAGGAGGCCAGGACGGAAATATTCCTCGGGATTTCTTACCTTCAGATCAATTTCTTCTCCTCCACATTTTGCAATCGCTTTCAGCAACAACGCATCAGAAACCCCCGAAGTCAGGATATCCCCTGGTGATCCTGCTATATGAAAAATAAAAAATTCTTAATATAATCTGTATTTGAGGCGATGCTTAAGGCCAATTTTCACTCAAGAAAATTTTCTACGGACAGAAAATTTTCCAAAAATATCATTGTTATAAAAGTTAAAATTTTCAATTTCAAAATGTTTTTCTGACGGAAAATTTGTGTCGGCCAATCCACATTTTACAAAATGTTCTTTCGGTGGAAAATTTTCCCGAGTGGAAATGCGCCTTTATATTAAGCCAAAATTACGTGCCTGTGCATGTTAACCAGCGCTGGAAAATGTCCGGAAGTACCACCAGCGCCGCTGCCAGAAAATGTTTAACAAAATATCTTGGAAGGAAATTTTTGTCATCTTATATACTGGAATGCCATATAATTTACTTAATATAATTTACTTTTTTTTTTTATGTTACTCTGAGTGTATATCCACACCGGGCAGGCTGACCACGGTGGGAATCGAACCCGCGACCTTTATGGGATATTAGTTCAATGCTCTGCCAACTGAGCTACGATGTCAAGTCTGTTCGAGTGTGTGGTATCTCGGAACTAAGTCTAGTACCTTCGATACCAACCTGCGGGCTAACTTTTCAGCCTGCCCGGTGTGGCAGCCTGAAAAGTATTCACCTGAGTACATGACATCAAAACACACACAAAAAATTTACTTCTTGTTTACACAAGCGTCATCCAAGTCGAGATTATTGAAGTCTATCGCACTGTGTGGCACCATGCAAATGGTGCATATTATGCAGTTTTATATTTGACTTGCACAGAACATTTCTTAACTCACCATTTGTTCACGCCCATCAGGAGAAAATCCCGCCTAAAATCGCGGCAAAAATCGCAAGTGTGAACGGGCCTTTTCTCACCTGCGGGATGAAGCAATAACAGTTTTTTAAACTCTGTTAAACTTAAAGTACTTGTATTCAGCTTGTCTTTGACAAACTTCACCAGGTTATTAAATAATTTCTCTTCATTTTCAGGCGATTGTTCAGTCTCTGTTTCGCTTATAACCGTAGTTTCTTTATAACCATTTGATATGTGAGTGTCCATTGGTGTTTCGGAGACAGAAGAATTATTGGAGGGGTTTACGTGACGGTTGATTTTTGGTGGGATAGTATTGATTGGACTTTTCATTTTGATGTCATCTGTATGTCAAAGAGAAAGAAACATGTCAGTTGATTTTCAATAACAGGATACTGTTTTGAATGTTCGGTAACACACGCTTAAAACTAACGAGAATATGGGCACTTGGCTATAGTACTAAATAAATACCTTTATTTTCGGGTTCTTTCGTCTGTAAGTTATATTTCTCACAAAGCCTAAAGCGACATACAAAAAAATTAAGCCACTTTTACAGCCAAACCGGATGTTCTCTTGCGAGCAACATTGCAATATTGTTTCACAATATTGCAATTGCTCTGAGCAATTTGCAACCGACGCATACAAATTGCAAGTTGAAATTCACAAAAGATTTGTAAACAAAGCCTGTGATTGGACTATAAGAAAGATTGGACTTGCTCAGATTATTTTATTGGCTTGCTTTCTGCTAATAGTACAATCAGAATTTGTGTTGTGAATTTCAACTTGCAATTTGTTCGCGTGGGTTGCAAATTGCTCAGAACAATCTGCCTATCAAAATTGCAATATCGTGGGACAATATTGCAATGTTGCTCGCAAGAGAACATCCGGTTTGACTGTAATGTCGGTGGCTATTTCTTTCCAAAGCCTCCTGCTCAAAATTCCAGTGGGAACCCGTGAAGTAGACTTGGTTCAAGTCCGTCTCAGGAGAAAATTAGGGAGAGACGGACTTGGGACATTTGCAGCATTTCGAATGTTACTTGCAAAAATTGGCACGAAAATTTGTTGTTGTTCTCAACTCGCAAGCCACGCTTCCGTAGGAAAAATCCGACGGTAAAATTTGGCGCGCTTGCAGGGTATTCAAGTCCGTCTCTCCCTACTTTTCTC